AAGGAGATTCTGCCCTGCTGTTGGCTTCCCCGTGTTCCTTGAAATGACCTCCTAATGCACGTTCGTGTTAGCTTGCAGTCCTTTCACCATATTAAAACCAGCCACTATGGGAAGGAATCGTTGCTCCCAAGGTTAACAACTGGTCTAAGCTTGTCTCTTTGGCTGGCTCCTGCTGTCAGTGGCTGCCCCACAAAGCCATTTAGCAAAGCCCAGGCAAGTGCCTAGAAAGATGGGTCAGATCCCTCTCTAAACACAGCCTCTGCTCAGCAAGTCCTTACAGACCCCCTGGGTGAGCTGCAGGTCCTGCCAGCACAGGAGGCTGCTCCATGCCTGGCAAGGCACTAAGTTGACTGTTTCTGAATAGCTGTTCCAGATGTACCTGTTCTGGATAGTTACTCACCTGGATATTGCAGTCCAGAAAGGATGATGGTGTCCTTAGCGATAGCTTAAATGCAAAGAAACCAAATGGACTTCGTCTTTTAGTTTAATTGTTCTAAACAGGTGGTTTCCTTAGATCTCTGAAAGCAAACATTTTGGATGGTATCTGGAACAGGAAGAAGAGATTTGGTTTCCTGAATTAGGTTTGCATTTCCTGGTTACCTCAGTCGTCGGTGTAGACAAAAACATAGGCACATGCTCAACTTCTCACATGAGGAAAGTTAAACATATGCTTGCAGTGAGTCAGAGTCCACCATATATAACTGTACTGGAGTAGCAGTAGCATATCTATGGGGGAAGTGTGTATAATACCTCTGCTCAGATCCAGGATGACTGTTCTTATGTTGTAGAGTTTGAATAGTTTTTGCATATGGCACGTATGCTTTATACCCCAAAATACTGCTGAAATGTTTAATTTTGAATGCAGAAGAGGTGCGAATTAACAGAGCAGATGCAGTAGGGTTACGCAGAAAGTGAGCGTCTGAATGGAGACAGGGAGGGAGAGAACAGTGACAGAAAGACAACACTGGTTTATATTGTAATTTCTCCAACATTGCTAAGGACAGGGGGAGACCCCCCCGTCCTTCCTAAAAAGGGTTTTTGTTTAATCCCACAGCAATCAATCAACGAAGCCATACGGACATCAACCCTTCCCAGGCCGGCTGCAGCAGGAGGCAGTGGAGAAAATGGACGTGTGGTCAGCCACGATTTCCCCAAATCCATGCAGACGATCCCGTGCATGAGCCACAGCACTGGCATGTCCCTGGGAGCTACGGGATTATAATTGGCCTTTTGACCCATTGCCTGGGTGAGAGCAGGGGCAGCCCAACTCCACCCTCTCCAGAGCCAAAAACAAACCCAACACCAACAAGACAAATGACGATGACAGAAGGGACAATTGGATGGATCTTCTCAAGGAAATCAAATCTATTGCCCTTTTTATTTGCAAACAGATCCACCGGCAGGAGAACAGAAACAGGTCTGTACTGCAATAAGGAGAGCGTAATGGGATTTAACAGACTCGTGAACCGTCCCTGATCAAAGAACCACTGGAACACTAATGAGGACTATGCCATTTTGTTTTAACTTGGTTGTTAATAAGTCTTAGTGTGTGCAATATATATATTTTTTCTTACTAATTCCTGTGGTGTCAGGGTAACATCAGCCCCTTCTCCCTTCCCTGCTGAGTCCTTCAATCTGGTTTAGTTTGGGGTGCAAACCATAATGTCTGAGCTACTAACAGCAAAAAAAGAAAAGCCGATCAATGGCAAGTTGAATTCCCTGCAGGGCATCAGCATTGACCCCTTTTGTCCATCGTGATTCTGCTTTCCGCTGTTCTGTTGTGAACTCGGGCTGTGGAGTTACTGCAATGAGGCAGACAGAGCTGTGAACAGCTCTTCCTGCAACAGGAAGGACTTGATGCAAGAAAGAACCTGAACAAAAATACAAGGCTGTCTTACAGGGGCAAAGTAATGAGTTTGGAAACCCCAGGTAACTTGAGGACAAAGTGATAATTCTTCCAGAGATGATGAGTGGCGGTTCAAGAGAATCGTGTGCCTGGAGTGGAGAACGTCATTTGTGGCAGACTACAGCAGATGATTGGTCTAAGATCATGGTCAGCTGCTGTTTATGGAAGACAGCAAGTGAATGCCGCATTCCCCTCACATGCGACTCTCCTGCCTAGGTTATTGGGGGCTAATAAGCAATTGTGAACCATTTCTTCATTGCTTAGCTTCTGTGTGTGCTCCCTTTTTGGTGGTCACGTAAGGGAACCACCTTGAGTCGGGAATAGACCATCTCAAGACATCCAGTTCTAGATGGCTGCCTGTTAACCAGAAAAACATGCTAGAAGTCATGGGGCTGCAATGGGAATATCCCTGCCTTTTTGCTCTGAAATCTCTTTATGGCCACTTTTCTAATTAAGAAGGACATATTGTAGATAGTTGGCCAGAATGGCTTCCTGGAAGGAACTGCTGAAGCAGACCAAGGAAGAGACCCTACAAGAGCTTCATTCAAGCATCCATGACATTCAACAGCATCAGGGCCAGCCTTCCTGTCAAGTTGTGGCCTGTCTGGGTACAAAGCCAAGAGTAGCAGATTCCCACTCGTGTATACTTAGGGAGGGGGAAGCATCCACAAGCCAGGAGAGCAGGTTGCTGACCCCAGACTCATTACTGCAGAAACCCGCACTGCCAGACAGGCAGGTGGGAGTCCCACCATAGGTGTGGAGATCAAAAGGGCAAGGATGGTTTTCCAGAACCACACAAAAGGTTTGTTCTGTGAGTCACTGGCATGGACAAACAAGTGCTTCCCACCCTGGTGGGCCTGAGACACTTCCCCAGAAGTGAAGAATTCCCAGGGGAGCATCCAGAGAGAGAATCTGTGGGGCAGGGACCACAGTGAGCCCACTTAGCCTTGTCCCATCTCACAGGTCCATCACTGATGGCAAATAAAGTTCAAAGCTTCTCACAGTACTCAGCAAATATCTGTCTGGGGACTGAGCTGCTATTGGAGTGTTCTGAGCTGCTTTTTCTCATCTTTTTCTTTTTTCTTTTTTTTTCTGCAACGTAGCAAGAGAGGAGCAGGAAAAGAATGGAAGTGGGTGAAGAGAAAGTGATGCAGGCAAATGACTGGCACAGGTCTATGAGGAGGATCTGTCTATGCAGCTGTCCATAAGTACAGCTGGAAGATGCCTGATACCAGTTTCTATTCGTGTACAAATGTGCAGAGCAATACGTTTACCACTTTTACCACCAGCCTGGTCTGAAGTATCTGTTCCATTTATCCACTTGTCATGCAACACTCTGGAGACCAGCAAGTCAGAGTCAAGGTCCTAAGCTGGGGCACAGCATGTCTTGTGCCAGTATGTTTTTCTCTCTTCACCACTGGAAACCCTTGTGATCTTCATCACTCATCACCGTACATGAACTCTGTTATCAGCCGCTCCAAACACCTCTTTGGTCACCTTGTCATGGTTATCATTATTTTTAATCCATTTATAATTTTAACTTCAGTTCTGTGTAAGTGCTAGCATAGTGGAGGCATCCCGCAAGCTAGCCTGTTTCCATGCCAAGAGCCCTCGGATGCATCTCCTGACCCAGCTCTTGCCACACCCCGGACCTTGCACTGCCAGGTGCTGCGGTGGGAGCAGGCTGCCAAGACCCGTTCCGTGCCCCGTCCTCCTCCAAAGACAGGACCACGTGGCAGCAGGTCGTGGGGAGCCCGAGCGGGCAGTTGGACGGTCTTGTGAGAAGCAGCGCCTCTGTGCTAGGACATGGCCGTCTGTGATGTGAAGTTGTGAGATGTGGTTTTCAAAGGCTTTTGATCTATGGAGGGGTGGGGGGGTGGGGGGGGAAAGATTAATAGGACAAAAGCGTGGAAAATGTTAACTTGTAATATGTATTTTTAC